CGAAAATAATCTTATGTTTGGGGGTCACCACAATATGAGGAGCTGTATTAAGGGGTCGCGGCATTAGGAAGGCTGAGAAATACTGGTCTAACACAAGTTGTTGTATTCCCATTTTGCAATGACAGGACGATCTCTGCCAATAAATGGTAGACGCCATGATGAGTAAACCAAGCAATATTTATTATGAGCTCAGATGCATGCAGCAAAAGCATATTTGATGTGGCTGGCAGTATAACTCCAGCTGCCAGTTTACTCTCAGATTGTCCTAAAGCAGCTTCCCAGGAGCCCAGACATAAAAGTCGATTACAGCTTCCACCGAAAAGGGATTTCTTGTCGCTTCTGTCTTTTGTGCAGCACCACGGGCACGGCTTGAACAAAACATTTATTATTTGTTCATCTGGACTGCCACTCAGACCTTGACCCTGTCGCTCAGTAAGGACAACTCACAAGTGACACATCTTAATGGCACAATCAAAAGTAAGGCTTGCAGAGTACAATGTAGTTTATACCCAAAGCCGCAGGTACAGCATCGCAGTCTGATTCTATCCTGAACCCCCCCCCCCCCAAGTTCCTATGAAATTTGAGATTTAGATAAGGGAATATTTTTGATGCAAGAGGATTTTTTTAGAACCACCCTCTGGGAATTGTCCTTTTTCAGGACACAAATATGGAGCTGTGTCTATTTGATGCAACTAGGCCAACCTGTCAACATGATCTTAAGTTTAATGAGACCTCCCCCTTGCCCCAATGCGATGCTGCAGCAAAGAGAGCAAAGAATATTCAAGCCTCCATGAACAGAAGCATAGTTTCCAAGTAAGGGAAAGTAGTAGGGCTCATCCAGACAGTACCTTTATCCTAGGAGCTTCCGCAGCAAACAAGAGGGTAGCCAGACACCGTTCCCTGTAAACATGGAAACAATTGCTACAAAAGACAAAAAATTGCAAGATTTCCAGGTGCAGGAATATATCTTTTGAGTGCCAAATGTCTGTATGTCCTTGCAATCAGAAATCAGGGGATTTTTTTTAATCTGGCTTGTTCCTGGATTTTAGATCATTGTTCCTGATTAGTCGGTTCCTAAAAAGAAGGTGACACTTGAGTAGAATGCAAAAACTTTGTTTCTGTGGCAGATACTTCATGAAACGTGTGGAGGGCACATTTTCTCTGGCCAGGACAAAGTTGTGACCCCTTAGTCAATGCTGTACATCTTTTCACAAGAAGAGGAATCAGGAACAGCCAACCACATGCATCCTGGACCCCTGCCCATCCTGGCTTCTAAAGGAGGCCAGAGGGGGATTGGCTGAGTGGGTTAAGGTGGTGGCTAATGCTTCCCTTTGGGAAGGCAAGATTCCAGCGAGCTTAAAACAAGCTATAATAAAACCGCTGTTGAAAAAAACCATCACTGGACCCCACTAAATTCAACAACTGTTGACCAGTTTCCAATCTCCCCTTCTTGGGCAAAATCTTGGAACGTGTGATGGCCTCACAACTCCAGGTATTCTTGGTAGACACGGATTATCTAGACCCGGCACAGTCTGGCTTTAGGCCGGGACATGGTACCGAGACAGCCTTGGTCGCCTTAGTGGATGATCTGCGCCGGGAGCTCGACAGGGGGAGTGTGTCCCTGTTGGTGCTGCTGGACCTCTCAGCAGCCTTCGATACCGTCGACCACGGTATCCTTCTGGGACGCCTCGCAGGGATGGGTCTTGGAGGGACTGTTTTGCAGTGGCTCCGGTCATTCCTGGAGGGTCGATCTCAGAAGGTTGGGGGACACCTGTTCAACCCCACAACCATTGTCTTGTGGGGTTCCTCAGGGCTCAATATTGTCTCCCATGTTGTTCAACATCTACATGAAGCCGCTGGGAGAGATCATCCGGAGTTTCGGGGTACGGTGTCATCTGTACGCGGATGATGTCCAACTCTGTCACTCCTTTCCACCTGCTACTAAGGAGGCTGTCCAGGTCCTGAACCGTGCTTGGCCGCTGTGACGGTCTGGATGAGGGCGAACAAATTGAAACTGAATCCAGACAAGACAGAGGTACTCCTGGTCAGTCGCAAGGCCGAACAGGGCATAGGGTTACAGCCTGTGTTGGATGGGGTCGCACTCCCCCTGAAGACGCAGGTTCGCAGCTTGGGTGTGACCCTGGATTAATCGCTGAGTCTGGAACCCCAGGTTTCGGCGGTGACCAGGGGAGCATTTGCACAGCTAAAGCTTGTGCGCCAGCTGCGCCCGTACCTTGGGAAGTCTGACTTGGCCACGGTAGTCCACGCTCTGGTTACATCCCGTTTAGACTACTGCAATGCTCTCTATGTGGGGTTGCCTTTGAAGACGGCTCGGAAGCTCCAACTAGTCCAACGCTCGGCAGCCATGATACTAACAGGAGCGGTGCACAGGGAGCATACAACCCCCCTGTTGCGCCAACTCCACTGGCTACCAATTTGCTACCGGGCTCAATTCAAAGTGCTGGCGTTGGCCTTTAAAGCCCTAAACGGTTCCGGCCCAAGCTACCTATCCGACCGCATCTCTGCCTATGAACCCACCAGGACTTTGAGATCTTCCAGGGAGACCCTGCTCTCGATCCCGCCTGCTTCTCAAGCTCGGCTGGCGGGGACGAGAGATAGGGCCTTCTCGGTGGTGGCTCCTCGGCTGTGGAACGCCCTTCCTACGAACATTAGACTAGCAACATCTCTAATGGTATTCCACAAAAAAGTGAAGACCTGGCTGTTTGAGCAGGCGTTCGAATAATTAGTGCAATGATTGGTTAATGAACACTGGAATGGAACAATGGATGACGAATCTGGAACATGTTTTTGATGATGAGACAACAATGAATGGGTACTGTAGTAACTGTTTATTAATTGTGTAATGTGTTAGGTTGTTAACTGTTTCTATACTGTAGCACTGAATTTTTGCTGTTCGTATTTGTTGTGAACCGCTGTGAGTCGCCTTCGGGCTGAGAACAGCGGTATATAAGTAAGGTAAATAAATAAGTAAGGTAAATATAACCCAGGAACAGCACCCTGTTGTTTGATGCCACAACCAAATCTGTCTGGACAGATGGCCAGGCGGACAAGTGTCAATAATGATAAAGTTCTGTTCCTGGCTTGACAGTGTGTGTTCCTGTTTGATTGTGCATTGCTGACTTGGGCAGAAGTGGTCCTACCCTGTAAACTTTGTTTGTGTGACAGATACTTTATGAAATGTGTGGAGGGCACATTTTTATCTGGCCAAGACAAAGAAGGGAACTTTTGCAGTGATTCGCTGCAGCGATTCTCCACATAATAATAACAATAACAATAACAATAAGAAGACCTTTATTTTTATACCCCGCCAACCATCTCCCTTAGGGGACTCGGGGTGGCTTAAAACACACATGAAAACACTTAAAACATCAGATAAAACCAATAACAACAAAATTGAAAGCAATATAAAAACAATAGGCTGAAAGAAACATAGCTGAGGTACAGATTCAATGAGTGCAATACATTTTACAGGAGCGCAGGAAAGTGCAACAATACAGTAAACTGGGCAGGAAATACTGGCAAGCACATGTTGAGGTAGGGCGTATGCCAGTGTAAAATGCGGGCCGGTGTAAAGTGCGGGTCTTCAAGTAGGGACGAGAAAGTTACTGGTTTTTAGTTGATTACAAAAGTAGGACAAGGTGGGAGCTTTCTGATCTCCCTAGAGAGGGAGTTCCAGAGCTGGGGGGCCACCACCAAGAAGGCTTTCTCCCTCGTCCCCATTAACTGTGCATGTGTCAGCGGGGGGGGGGGGGGGGGGGGGAGAGAACATATCCATAATGCCGAAGTTTTCGGTGGAAGTCCCACGGCAGCAGGGGTAGCTCAACCCATTACGTAAAGTAAGCATTTGCAGTATAGTTGATTTTGCCCGGGGGTGCTCTTGAGGCGCTCTTGGGGGGAAATAGACCTTGACATATGCGACTTGTAGTCACTGGGATGTATAGTTCACCTACAATCAAAGAGCATTCTGAACTCCACCAATGATTGAATTGAACCAAATATGGCACACAGAACTCCCATGACGAATAGAAAATATATATCAGTGATTGGTTGGGGTGGGGGGGCAAAATACTGTTTGCTTACCGTTGAAAATTACCTAGGGCCACCTCTGCACGGCAGCCATCTTGGGAGCCTCTAAATCTTGCAACAAAGCATCAAGTCTGGACAACAAAGGTAGAAATCCCAGGATTAACAGTGTATCTTTTCTGAAGTCCCAGGAGTTTTTGCCCTTGTTTAAAACCTGTGATTTAGTCCTGTCTGGAAGCGCCCCAAGTATATTCTGCACTAGTCAGTGTTCATCTAGAGTACTCGGTTCAGTTCCGGAAGAATGTAAACCGCTTGAAGCAGGTTGTTCAGAGCAGAGGATGAGAAGAGAGCTGCTGAGAAGAACATGCACGAGGGAAGACCGAGGGAGCTGTGTGCATTCAGCATGGTAGAGAGGAAACGGAGAGCTGACAGGATTATACTCTTTAGATATCCAAAAGGATGTCAGAGAGGATAGTACAGATTTGTTCTCTGCTGCCCCAGAGGGTCGAACCAAGTCTAATGGTTTGAAGATACAGAAGAGTATGTTTCAACTGAACATCAGAAGCGCCCTGTTTGTATTCAGCAGAAGGATGATGTAGAGCAACCAGCATGTAACTCGATTTATGTGATACAAGCACAACGTAGGAACTCAGTTAATGAAATTTACTTATCTGAGTAAGTGTGCAGCCTCTGTGCACGCCTCTCAGCTGCCTTGAGATTTGAGAAAAAGAAAGCAGGGAACTGGAGGCAAAAACAGATCCGAACTTGTCAACTAACAAAGACCTACCCAAAGGTCATTTGCTCTTCCTTCCAGTTCCCCACCTTCTGCCCCACGAATCATGTTTCTTACCTTCAACACTACCCCCTCGATCCTGTTTGGTTCCCCTCCTAATATACAACCCACCCCCTGTATATTTAAGTCCTGTGCTCCACTTTCTCCCCATTGTTCTTCCTAAATGGCTCTCCAGGACATAGTACGTATGAGGAATCAACCATCACAGGCTTCCTGTTGGCCTTTGCCACCACCAATGGAGATGGTGGTACCCGTACCCTTCTTGCTGTCCCACGGCACCACCACGCTGGCCTTCCGTTGCAGCCATGGTGTGGTCGTGGCTGCTGACACACGCTCCTCCTGTGGCAGCCTTATAAGTGACCCATCCTCCCGCAAGGTCATCACGCTACACAGCCACCTCCTGGCGACCACATCTGGGACGTCGGCTGACTGTGCCACCTGGCTCCGTCTCCTGCGTTGCTCCTTACGCCTGAAGCATCTGAATGAGGGACAACAGCCCAGTGTCGCCGGGGCAGCAAAGTTGCTGGCCTTTCTTCTGCGTGGATGCCACAGCAAAGACCTCTGCGTGGCAACCCTGCTGTGCGGTTGGGACCACAATGGACCTGGTCTGTATTACGTCTACAGCGATGGCACATGTCTTTCCGGGGATGTTTTTTCTGTTGGCTCCGGGTCCCCTTATGCATATGGCATGATGGATGGTGGCTACTCCTATGACTTGCCACGTGATGAGGCCTTCTTATTGGCCCGCCAAGCCGTGGGTCATGCTGCCCACCGTGATTCCTATTCAGGGGGCAATGTGGATCTGTACCACGTCCGGCCAAGCGGTTGGGTCTGCATCTCACGGGAAGATCTGACTGATGTTTATCATGGCTTGGGGCCAACTGTCGAAGAGATCCAGGATGACAAAGACCACCTGCAAGGAGAGAGCAAGGTGGAGTAATATGGGACAAAACCAAGAATAGTCCATATATAGTATACAGGATGGGCCAAAAGTCACCAAAGAATTTCAATACTGAATAAGTCCTTTGTTTGCTTGTTTTTTAAATTTACAACACCATAGAATCTCATGCAGTATGGGAAATAAATTTATATTATGTGTGCCAAATCAAATCTTGTAAATGGTGTTCATTTTCTGCTTTGCAAAAACGTGCCCTTCCTAAGATGTTTTCCATGATATCTCTTAGTTTTTCAGGTTCCAGTGCTCTGATTTAGGTCTGAATATTGTTCGTCAACTGTTGGAGCATTTGAGGCTTGTTAACATCAACCTTTTCTTTGGAGATGTACAGTGTTCTCTCACTTATCACGGGGGTTCCATTGCAGGAACCCCCGCAATAAGTGAAAAACCACGATGTAGGGATGCTATACTGTATATGTACAGTATAACTCCGCCCACTCCTCTCTCCCCCTCCTCTCTCTCTTCCTCTCCTCTTTCCCCCTCCCTCCCTCCCTCCCCCCCTTGCAGGAGCCACACTTCTCCCTACCTCCCTGCTTCAACACTGGCATGGGGTTCTCACCTGGTCACCCAAGGAAGAACGACCGGGAAAAAGCCCCGGCGGAAGCTGCCTTGGCAGCCCTCTTCACGCCTCTCTCTGGTGCCAGTTCAGCAAGTGGGATTTATAGATCTGTGTATACAGTGTTCCCTTGGAACTTGTACTTTATTTTTTTTAAAAAAACCCCACGAAACAGTAAGTCCACGGGAAGTGGACCGCAGAGTGCCGAGGGAACACTGTATTTATTTATTGTATCAGAAGCAAACCAAGGGTACAGTTATATGTATTTAAAAACACAAAGTTTTTAAAAACTTGGGATTATATTAAATGTCCTTTGACCAGTAGCTGGCCACTTGGAGTGCCTCTGGTGTTGCTATAAGAAGGTCCTCCATTGTGCATGTGGCAGGACTCAGACTGCATTGTAATAGGTCGCCTATGGTTTGCTCTTCTCCAAACTTTCATGTCGTGGATTTCACTTTGTGGCCCCATTTCTTAAGGTTGTCTTTGCATCTCGTGGCGCCAGAGTGCAGTATGTTCATTCCCTTCCAAGTCGCCTAGTCTTCTGTGTGCCCAGGTGGAAGTCTCTCATTTTGTATCAGCCACTGATTGAGGTTCCGGGTTTTAGCCTGCCACTTTTGGACTCTTGCTTGCTGAAGTGTCTTTGTAGATCTTAAAAAACTATTTCTTGATTTAAAGCGTTGGTGTGCTGGCTGATATCCAAACAGAGGATGGGCTGGAGCTGTCACTAGCTGCTACTTATTGGCTGCTACTTCCCGGTGGATGTCGGGTGGTGCAATACAGTGTAATTTCTCCAGTGGTGTAGGGCACAGACATCCTGTGATAATATGGCATGTTTCGTTAAGAGCCATATCCACTGTTTTAGCATGGTGAGATGTGTTCCACACTGGGCATGCGTACTCAGCAGCAGAGTAGCAAAGCGCAAGGGCAGATGTCTTCACTGTATCTTTGGAGATAGCCCCGTAGGAAGAAATCAGGATCTGTCAGATCTGGAGAATGTGTTGCTAACTGCAGGAAATTATCTTTCCCTCAAAGATTTGCCTGAACATTTGGATTGTGGCCCATGCTGTCACTCCATCCTATCGGAAACACGTCGTGTTTATCTTGAACTGCTGCTATTTATCCATTGTAACATTGACAGGGTTTGCAATATAATCTCCATAAAAGCAAAGTTTGACCACTTCTTCTTACGTCACCCCACACTAGACTGCATACTTGAGGTCATACAGTTCCCTTTGGCAAATTTCCTAGGATTTTCCAAACCCCAAATACTGCAGTTTTGTTTATTAATGAAGCCATTCATTAACAATGTGCTTTGTTTGACATCATCGGCTTGTGGGCAAATCTCCCCTTGGGAATTATTGAGATCTGACTGCACATGGCAATCTGTGGGCATAATTTGTGTTGGTCGTTCAGTCGTGAATTTTGGCACGGTTAATCTCCTAGACCTTCTTTTTAAAAACCCACTTTGTAAAGCAAAATGAGGAACAAAAATAATTTTCAAACACTAAAACAATTAGACCCTTTTGTGATTTTTTTGGCCCACTCTGCATTTTGAAAACATGGATGCCAGCCAAGCAAAAGAGTGCAAGGTATTGGTTTCAGACTCTAATAACACGAGCATGGAGGTGGGAGCGAGACATCAAACTGAATGAATCAAAACATACAATAATTCAATGGTATGGGGGGAAATAATGAACATGGTTTATAAGAAACCAGCATGATCCAACGTAAAGCAGCGTGGGACAGATTATGAGCAGATGGTGATGCAGCACACAACAACAGCAAGGGTAGACCTTCCTTGTTGTTGTTGTTGTTGTTGTTGTTGTTGTTGTGTGCTTTCAAGTCCTTCCTAATCTATGGTGACCCTACCAGGGGACGTTCTTGGCAGGATTTTTTCAGAAGAGGTCTGTCCTTGCCTTCCTGAGGCAGAGAGAGTGTGATTTGTCCAAGGTTGGCTCATGGTAGAGCTGGGATTCGAACTCTGGACTCCAGAGTCCTAAACTGCATCCACACAGTGGGATTAGAATCATAGAGTTGGAAGAGACCTCGTGGGCCATCTAGTCCAACCCCCTGCCAAGAAGCAGGAAAATCGCATTCAAGGCACCCCTGACAGATGGCCATCCAGCCTCTGTTTAAAGGCCTCCAAGGAAGGAGGTTCCACCACGCAAAGAGTTCCACTGCTGAACAGCTCTCACAGTCAGGAAGTTCTTCCTAATGTTCAGATGGAATCTCCTTTCGTGTCGTTTGAAGCCATTGTTCCATTGCGTCCTAGTCTCCAGGGAAGCAGAAAACAAGCCTCCTCCCTCCTCCCTATGATTTCTCCTCACATATTTATACATGGCCCTTATCATGTCTCCTCTCAGCCTTCTCTTCTTCAGGCTAAACATGCCTGAATATGGTTTGGTCCCATTTTAATATGGTTTGATCCCATTTTAGCTGCCATGGCTCAGTACTAGGGAAGCTGTAGTTCAATGAGGCACCATCACTCTGGCTGGATCGACACTGCCAAATCATCCAGTTTCTGAATCCAGATGATCTACTTTGAAGTGGATTGTATGAGTCTATACTGCCATATAATCCAGCTAAAAGCAGATCATCTGGATTCAGAAACTGTATGATAAGGCAGTGCAGATGGAGCCTTTTGACAGAGAAGGCTAAGGACCTTGCAAAACCACAACTCCCAGGATTCCATAGCACCAAACCACTGCCATTCAAGTGGTGTCAAACTGCATTAACTGTATAGTGCAGATGCACCCAAAATTCAACCCCCAAACCATTAACACCTCGAACACCTTTGAACCAGTATAAACCAATATGGAAGAGGCGCCACCAGTTTGGCATCTAAGGCCCCTTCTGCACTACCATTTAATCCAGATTATCAAAGCAGATCGTGATGGATGGTGGCTACTCTGCTTTGAACTGGATTATGAGTCTAGACTGCCAAATAATCCAGTTCAAATCAGATAATCTGGATTCAGAAACTGGATTACATGGTAGTGCACGTGGAGTCTTTGACAGAGAACGGTTACATAGCACCGAACCATTGCTATGAAAGTGGTGTCAAACTGCATTGACTGTATAAACCAGTATGGAAGAGACATCTAAGGCCCCTTCTACGCTACCATATAATCTATATTATCAAAGCAGTAGTGATCTTAATGCAGCTGACTCCCAGTCAACTGTGCCACAGTCCTAGTCAAATAATCCCGTTCAAAGCAGATAATCTGGATTTTATATGGCAGTGTAGAAGGAGCCTTGGCTATACTGTCCCAGTCAATCCAATTCAAAGCAGATAATCTGGATTTTGGCAGTGTAGAAGGCACCATGAGGATCAATGAAGTAAAATAGAAGCCCTTTGGACAAATACAGATCCCATTTATAGACCTGGATGGTCTCGTGGTACATCTACGCAGTAGATTTGATGCAGTTTGGCACCACTTCGAGTCGCCATCTATATTGCCATATAATCCAGTTACTGAATCTAGATTTATCCGTTTTGAACTAGATTTCGGGCCCTTCCACACTGCCATATAACCCAGAATATCAAGGCAGATAATCCACAATGGCCTAACTGAGTCCACACCGCCATATAATCTAGTTTAATGTGGGTTTTATACAGCTACGTGGAAGGAGGCCTGAGACACGTATAAAAATTCAAGCTGGGCTTCTTCGCTGGGGAATGTCTTCCTCTTCTTCGTGTCATGATGGCGAATAAGGCGATAAAGAGGCCGTCGTCGTCGTTTATCTCTCTTCCCTGTCACCGCCTGGCTATTATCTCGCAGCTCCATCTTCGCTTGCTTCTCTCCCTCCCTCCCGCCGCCATTGTTTGGACAAAGAGAAAGAGACAGAAGATAAAAGGGACAAAGCGTCCCTCCGAAATGGAGGCGCCGCCGCCTCAGTCGCCGCCATGAATATGGCGGCGACTGAGGCGGCGGCGCCTCCATTTCGGAGGGACGCGCCCGCCGCCATTGTCCAACACTGTTATCTTAATTGGCATCTCTCTCTCGCTCCGTCATGTTATTTTTCCTTCTTTAACCCAATTTGGGTCCCCCAAATGTCATTGAACGACGACTCCCATCGCTTCGGATCATTAAGGACCACGCTAACTGGGGGATAATGGGCATTGCAACCCAACAGTGTGGCTCTGAGGTTGACCAAAGGCGAAAGGCCATTTTGAAAGCCGGGCCTCTTCCACGTAGCTGTGTAAAAATCCCACATTATTAGCTTTTGAACAGGATTGTATGGTAGTGTGGACTCAGATAACGGTATATGGCTGTGTGGAAGGGCGCAAAATCCAATATGCAGATGACAACGTCATCTGTGCGCATTCAGAAGAAGACCTGCAAGCCACTCTAAACACCTGCTCAGAAGCATACGAGAAGCTTAGTCTCTCATTGAACATCAAGAAAACCAAAGTGCTCTTCTAGCA